TGAGTTCTAAATTGTGTGTGTATTTATATATATATAGGAAAGTGTAAACTATATCTAATATCACAATTTAAAACCAGACAGTGGTCCAAATCCTGTTGTTTGGTGTAGTGAACAGCAGCACTGCAATAGGTCCATTGAATCAATGGGATTTGGTGAATTAACTCCTCCATTAAGTTCCACAGATTCAAACAGGTTTATCATAAGTGCTACTTATTATGCTAAGAGTAGACCTATTTGAATCTATGGAACTTTTAGAGAAATTGACTCATCCAATCCACATTGGGCCTGCTTTAGTGTTAATTTCACACTAAGCAACAGGATTTTGACCAGTATGTATGTTCAAAAGAGAATTTTCCAAAACAAGCAATCCTCACAAATCAAGATTCCAAATATCATTATCATCATCTGGGGTGGGGGAAACACCTTCCAGGATCTCTTCCTTTTATAATCGTTTTTATGTCTATGTTATATTTGTTTACTTCAATTTTTTCTCTCCCTGCCATTGCTACCTGGGGTTATTGTTCTCTTGGGGGGGGTTGCTTTTTGGATTATTTGTGGATGGGTGGGTGGGGTTTGTTTTGTTATGTTTATGTTTGTAAACTGCCCAGATTAGTGCCATGCCACTAGATGGGCAGTATAAAAGTCAAATAAATAAAATACAAACAAACAAATAACCTGATGAGGAAAACAGATGCTGGGCTTTGGAATAAGCAAAAAAAAAAATGTGCAGAATCATGGTATCATTCACTTCCAGCTCAACATGTAGGTAACCTAGGGTGGTTGTATCCAATTGTTATTCAGCTAGCAGATAGCTTCCAACCCATGCAGAGTTCGTGTCCTCGTCCTTGTGCCATGTGGAATCCGGTAATTTGACTCCACTAGCTCACTGTATCCCACAATGCATGACAAGCCGTGTTCAGGACCTCTTCTTGTGCAAAGCTTTACTGAAGGTATTTAATAAAGCATCCCACAAGACACTGCACATAAAATATATGACTTCATGGGGCTACATCTTGCTTGCATTAGTTGTGTCGCAGTTCCCCCTCATCCTGTTAATCGCTGGACAACTTCTTGCAGAACAGCCGCCCCTCTTGTAATCTGTTGGCACTGAACACAACCTAGAATTTGTAATGGGTGAGTTGAAACCACTTCAAGTGACTTAAACTGCCTTCAACTGCTTACCCCAATAAATGAACAGACACTCCCAAGGCTGATAGAAAGTATCCTTTTGGAACAGGTGAGGGTGATTGGGTATACAGGGGGCTGCTCAGCAAGGCTCCTGCACCCTTTAATACCATACACAAGAAGATTTGGGCAGATGCAGCCCTTCCCCATCTTGAATGACAAGTGCCATCTGCCAAGAGGTCACTCCTTGGCACCATCTTTAAAAGCACTGAAGCCTGGCCATGGCAGCCGTCCTTTATAGCTGATTGCCCTAGAGCAAACCATGACGATCCTAGGGCTATGGTTCTATTCTGAAACAAGCCATTATAAGGAAACTAATAATGGGGCTGGGGCTGTGTCAGGACTCAGCTGGAACCTCCAGAAAACTCTTAAGCAGGGAGCTATTCTGCTTTCTGCAAGGACTTTTCAGCATGGCTCACCCTTTATCATTCCTGCATTGCAATTAGCTGGATCCCTGTGGGCTTACCCTATTACAGCAAAAGCTGGCAGCTCCTGCAGGTCAAAGGGAAAATCCATACGAAAGTTGGTTCTGAACAAGGCTGTGATGGTGACTGTAAGCGGGGAAAAAGAGATGGGAAGAATTACTAAGAGAAAGAAAAAGGACGTGACAGAAATTGAAATGTGCACTGCTAAAAACAGGAGCCCAAGGCAATGGAAGGTAAAGGGAAAAGATGAGATCTCAGGGCATACACCAAAGGCATGGCATGAAAAGCATTCTAGAAACCTTCCCTTTGGCTCTGCTTGAGTTCCGAGCATCTCATTCTAAAGAACTCATTAGCTTAATGCTGTTTTTATACATTTTTGGACAGGAGTGAAATCTGTGCAGCCTCAAGGACACATCAGGATGAAAGGTCTTGCTGCTTCTGCTGCTACATGAAAAGAGTTTAGATCCACAAAATTATCAATAGGTGCATCAGCAACATCAATTGGTGTAACACTGGGGTTTCACATCTTTAGCTGTTTTTCCTCTTTTAATAAAAAAAGATAAAGGAAAAATAGCTTGCTGTTTTGCTATTGCTTTTGCTTGAACTCCTGCATTACCCCTATGTGTGCAACCTTGTAAATCCCTGCTTTTTGTAAACAAGACAAACAAGTCCGCAGATAATCTCCATGCCCCCTAGACCTTCTAAAAGTACTGTACTGAGAAAACTGGAGACAAATAGAATGGAAGAGAAGAAAGCACTGTTCCTGTTACTTAAAGAAATATACTCAGTTTTCTGCCCCGATGTAAACAGCAGCAGTGGGTGAGGAATGGAATGCTTCTCCATGATGAACTGGCCAAGACTGAAAGCACAAAGTGCCATTTGCCAGTTCAATGTTAGATAAGTGTCTACACTAAAGTCACAACACCAGCTGGGGTTCTCCCCCACCCCAGTGAACAGTTCGCTTTGGAAGCTGGTTTTGCCCTCATTGCAGGTTAACACCTGGAAGAGAAGCAGCTGGGGTTCTCCCCCACCCCAGTGAACTGTTCGCTTTGGAAGAGAAACGGAAGGAATTTTTATCAGTAATCTCAAGCTACGGGTTAAGCAAAGCCAGGCAAATAAAAGCTCTGCACCAATGTTAACGCTTGGATTGCTTTAAAAAGCTGTCTCTGTTGCCCTCACATTTGCCCCTGAATTCCAACGTTGTGGCCTTAGCACACAGCAGTATGAAGCAATGGCTTCAGGAAACTGTTTTTTTAGAGGGGACACCACCTTCTTTGTTCCTAGCTTCCACCTCTCTGTGTTATTGACAAAATGAGCTCCAGACCAGAGCAAAGTAGCATAATGCTGAGTTTTTCCTTCAAGCAAGGAAACATCTTACAGTGGTTTCTAGAGATGGGCACGAACCGCTGGTTCGGCAGTTTGTGCTGCTTCGTTTATTAGCCGAACAGGTGCTTGCCACTTCAGAAGTACTGGTCTGTCATTTAGGTGAAAAGGCAGTGTGTAGCTAAAGAGAGATGTAATGTTTTCCCTATGTTTTTTCCACACCATACCCAGCAGAAGCTGTGTGGAAGGGGATCTTTGGGGGTGAGGAGAAAGACATTGTCACAAGAGAGACTGGGAAATGGTGTCCTGCCCTACCTGCGTCTTTGTTCCAGACGGCAAACACCCGGAAAACAAAGGCACTGAAAGTGGCTGCAAAGAACCCACGCCAGTAGTTCCGAACAGCAAAATAGGTAGAAGTTACTTCAATGCTAAAAAGAACACCTAAAGGGGGAAAAAGAGATGTTCTCAGCAATACATGACAGCTCTGTCTCTCTCACACACATGACATCAAAATATTTTGTCAAAAATATCAGCCATCACTCCCACTTGCATGAGTTGAGAAAGTCTGTGATAGTGAGGATTCAGGGGTGATACCACATCTGGGTGTAAAGAATGGTCACCTTCACCTCAAAATAATAGTTTTTTTCCTCACATAAGAGTTGAGGTCACAATGGAAATGGGGAAGCACATCGACAGTATACCAATTCACATTTTAATCTGATCAAATCAGCATTAAAAGGATTGTATATTCTCTCCAATTCACAGTTTTTCCCTATTACCAAGATTTGCTCAGATATACAAGCCTTTGCTATCAGACTTTCAAATTATATTGAGTTTACCTTCCAGTGCCCAATCACAAAATAAAATCTACTAATTGCTAGATATGTTGGTGAAGAAATTTAGGTGCTGAGAAAAATACATATTTCACTATTTGGGGGAACAAAAAATATAGCAAACAAGTGTTAGAGCAGCACAAACAATTATCTCGAGAGGTGGTGAGTGCTCCAACACTGGAGGCATTCAAGAGAAAGTTGGACTGCTCTCTGTCAGATACACTTTGATTTGGATTCTTGCATTGAGCACGGGGCTTAACTCAGTGGCCTTGTAGGCCCTTTCCAACTCCATATGATTCTATGAGTATTGTGTAGTCAGTCCATCCGTGCAGTGATTTCTAAACGTTTGGCATTGACAGATCTCTTGCTGTTGGATTAAATTCTACACTTCATTTCAGAAGCATGTCTGGTGACAACAATTACACTGTTATTCTGAGAGAACGGAGGGAGGGGGACCACAGAACATGCCCAACAGTCCCCTACATCAACACCTTGCAGGGATAAGGACCCTAGTGACAAACAAGCTGTCTTCATGGAAACTTGTTCAACTGAAGAAAATGTGCTGAGGTTCTCCAGAACAAAGGTGGGAAACTACTTTCTTACTGGAAGGATAACTGCTACTCCACGTTATAACCCCCCTGTTATTATAGTAACGCTGTGCCTCTCAGAAGTACAGCATCAGCTCCACTCACACGGCTTCACAAGGAAACATGTTACTGGAGCAGCATGAGAAGAAGCCTGTGGGAATAGCTTCCATGCCATAAATGCAGACAGAGTGTGCTCAAATCTAATTTGAAAACAGTTGTCTTTAACAACATAGATAGCCTATAGCTGCAGAAAGAGCTGAGAGGAAGAAGATTTGAGCATAGGGGCAGGGAGGAAGAACGTGACATTTCTGAGAAAAACAAGGCAACAATCAGCGGCCACTTGCCTCCAAGCGGTGTCCCGAAACAGCAGCCAACCCCTACAGCACATCCCACCGTCAGGACATCGGTGTAATAATATGGCTGCTACTGGTGGAAGAGACATGAAAGAGAAAGAGAGAGAGATGCACACAGAGAAAATAAGAGACCGAAACAGGAAAGAAAGGGAAGAGTGAGTGACAGAATTTGAAGCGAGTGCAACAGGATGGTCTTACAGATGTTATCTAACTACACATGTTACACCTATTACATTATTCCACTCCGGAAGCACTACAGAATTGCTTCTGACACAAACAAAGACAAAGAGTTGTCAGAATCTCTCTGTATCTCCTGCCCTTCAATGTGATTATCTGGCCCAGAGTGGACACTTACAGGAGGAGTGTGGGACAGAGCAATAGCCAGCCTCACACTAAGACATGGGGCATCTTCAGCAGACCACCTGTCATGAATGTGCATGTTCTGAAGGACAGAGCTTGCCACCCAGGCAAAGGTCCACTTCAGGCATTCACTTGGGGTGATCATTCAAGGAGTGCAGCTGTTACCCACATTGATACCTATCAGATCTACCAGGGACCCAGCCAGGGTGTTGCCACAGAGAGGGGACAACTAGATACCACTGAGATAGATCTACCAGGGACCCAGCCAGGGTGTTGCCTACAGAGAGGGGACAACTGGATACCACTGAGATAGTTTTTTTTTTCTGTAACCCAGCAATCTCCAATCATCTTCATTTAAGAACATAGACAATATTTTGCCAGATTCTATTCAATTTTATTTTGGACTTGTTGATTCTCCACATATTTGATACCATCTAACCCTGGAAAATGTTATGTTTAGAGACAGGCACTTTGTATTCCTATCTCAGGGATATGAATATAAGGGACCCAACTGCCTCCCCCAGAACTGGCTGGGGGGCTTACTGGGATCCACATGGCACTGGGGCCCTTGTTTGTCATCAGTGTGCCAATCCTGGGCTGAGCCCGGCTGGCCCTTCCCCACCTCCCTGTTTGGCCACTCACTCACTGGCTGAGCAGGGAGACTCACCGTCCTGCTTCCACACCAAAGTGGTTGGCTGTGCAGGGAGGCAGGGAAGGACCAGTCAGGCCCGTGGGGGGCTTACTGGGATCCACATGGCACTGGGGCCCTTGTTTGTCATCAGTGTGCCAATCCTGGGCTGAGCCCGGCTGGCCCTTCCCCACCTCCCTGTTTGGCCACTCACTCACTGGCTGAGCAGGGAGACTCGCCGTCCTGCTTCCACACCAAAGTGGTTGGCTGTGCAGGGAGGCGGGGAAGGACCAGTCAGGCCCATGCCAGGATTGGCACACCACCACTGCAACAAGACTCCGGCATCATGCAGAGCCCAGTGAGTCACCTGGACAGTTCGGGGGGGGGGAATTGGGCCCCAGTGCCACAGATCATATTTGTACCCCTGAGATACAAATACAAAGTGCCCATTTCTAGTGTAATTCACTAGGTTATTTCTTCTTTTTTTTCCTATTGTGCTGTCATCCTTAGTAAGATTTTTACTTAGCAAGAGGTACATGAAATATTTAAGGAGTGGTTTACCTTGTCATCCCCGAGTGAGTTTCCATGGCTGAGAAGGGACCTGAACTCAGGTCTCCTACTCTGAGACTCTATCCACTATACCACACTTGCTCTTACTTTCTTAGTGATCCAATAAATACATCACCATTGCAGAATGTTCTGTCTATTAGAGAGCTCTGTGGAAGTTATACTACTCAAAATTACCTGGAAAATTAAAATGTATAGCTGCAATATATACATGGCTTTAATCTTATAAATTATAGACACTAGGAATTCTAGGAAAAAAAGGTTGTAAAATCTTTAAAAAATGATTGCCTTCAAATTTATAAATATGGTGTTTTTTAAATGTGAGGATTTAAGACATTTCCACTATACAATGAACTTCTAAATTACAGTATATACTGTATGGAGAAAACACAGGACACAAATGCTAAAGTTTTGACAAATTATACAAAATTCTATACAATCCAGATGATGTGTGATACAGTATGTGCATAAAATGTACAACTATTAACAAATAACCCCCACCACACACAAATCCAGCACAAAAGATCCTTCTTTAAAGAGTTTTCAAAGGTTTCCTTAATGTTTTTGAAAGAGTTGTGAAAACAACTGATCTGCAAAATAGAGTGGTAGGATGAGTCCCCACTGAAAAGATTTCAAACCAGAAGCTTTTGATCACAGCACAAACCTACCTCCTTTTTTAAAAAACTCAAGCACAAATCATATTAAATGTATTTCTTCAAGCTTTTAGAAAAGTTTATAATTAATTCTGTTCAGACGAACTCTTAGTTGCCTGATATTAGAAGGAAGAGTAAGAATGAAATACAGGTACACATCATTTTCTTGGCTGTATAATAAAGAACCATTAGTGAGTTGATTGAATTAACTGTATTCCTTCGTTGCCTGCATTACTTAATATCACAGTGTCTTTTCCCAATCAAATGGATACTGGCAGATAACCTGTACTTGCACTGCCTCCAACATCTTATGCCTTAAAACAGGGATATCTACTTCTAATACTCTTATTCCTACATATCAACAATCACTCCTTCAGAGAGCCACACTTACATGCTGCATACGTTATTACATGTCACTGAAGGGTTTTTCTCTACTTGCAAGACACTATATTCATTTATCCTGCAGTAGTTTGTGCTGCACTGGTTTCTGATGTGAGATGTGTTAGTAAAGAGAGTAAATTAAATCAGTATTATTGAAAGGTATCATCTGTCAGTGGATCTATCTTTACTTATTATAGAATAGCTGCTGGAAGTGCAAATACAAGCGAATCGTTTTCTGTGATAATTAACATTTGGCTAAGCAGTTTTGGGAGGATGGAATGCAAGCGAGCCCTGGAAAGTGGAATTAGAGCATAGGAACTCATGATCTAAGTCGTTTCCTGCCTATCCATGAGACATCACTTCCTTGTAGTACAACTACATCCTATTTTCTATAGGATGTCCTTTAGTCCCTTTTCTATTTTTCAGTCAGGTTACGTGAGATTAAAGACTTGCATTGCCACACCACAAACAATAATAATAATAATTTATTGTCATTGTAAGTATATACACAGTATACCCATACAACGAAATTCACAATGTCAGTTGCGTAGCAAACGTAGTCCTCATTCCAGGAACGTTCTCAGCCCAGAGCAGAAATAGGTATAAATACAGGAATGCACTTGCCTCCAAGAGGAGCCCCGAAACAACATCCAACTCCAACTGCGCAAGCGGACACCAGGAGGTCGAGTTGCCTGTGCACATTCTGGAACAGAAAGCCCAGCCACAGAGAGAGGCATGCCAGGGTTAGAGGAAGCATAGCCCCAAGGTTAGTCCCCCTCCTCCGCTCCCAAAGCAAAGCACACAGCTAGTAGCAGAACTGGCCTTCTCTTTCTCAAGAGCACAGGAAGCCAGCCTTCATTACAGTGAACAAGTCCAGTATCAAGATCTGGTCCTGGCATGCAGTCAGAGTTGTCTCTGGGTCAATCTGTGTATCGCCTATACAGTATGTGCCAGTTTCCATACTAGCCTGGCAGACCTTCATTCATTCATTCATTCATTCATTCATTCATTCATTCATTCATTCATTCATTCATTCATTCATTATTTAGATGAATCCGATTCTTTCAAAATAAATCCTTTTGGCGTTTGCTACAGTTCATTGGGGTGGTACTTTACAGCCAGCCACTGCTCCCGAGAGCTCCCACCCCTCTCAGTTTAGAGAGTTAGAGTTAGACGAAGCAATGAGATTCTAGAGCTACAGCCAGCCTCAGAGAAGAGCAGCTTATAACCACCAGATTAGTAGTTTCCTTTTAAAAATTAAAAATATCTGCCTCTCCTCTTGATACTTGCTATAAATACCGTAGCCTTGATTAAGCCAATTGTGGGTATGTACAGCTACTCAGCCAACATTATATAGGGCAAATGACTACAGTCAGGAGACTAAGTAACATATGCCATACTAATATTCCATTTCTGTTTAAAGGAAGCTGAAATCCTGCAACTTCAGCAATTGCAAAATAAAGCTAATGGAACAATTAGTTATAAATTTACCTTATAGATATAGCAATTAACATTTTCTATTACAGTATTTACAAAATAACTATTTAAACCCTCTATATGTCATTTTTAAAGTTCTACACCATTCTGTTACCCATCCTAAGTGGCAAGGGAAGTTTTCATTGATTTTTGTATGTATTAGTATTTCTGTATGTATTTGCAAGGTGCAATATCAGAAATGGCCATTAATGGGAGATATAGAGTAGTTTTCCTATATTTTACTTCATCTAGCAACTACAGCAATGCATCTTCACAATGTCTAACACTATCAAGCACTGACCAAAGCAATGATAAATCATGCTGAATGCCCAGCAGTAATGAGTAATTCAGAGAGTTCCTTTCTAAAAGTAACATGGCAAGCTCTGAGAAATATATTCTCACAAGGGAAAAGGTAACAAAGGGGAATGGAATGGGGTCTGGACATCAGGGACGTGGTGGCGCTGCAGGTTAAACCGCAGAAGCCTCTGTGCTACAAGGTCAGAAGACCAGCAGTCGTAAGATCAAATCCACGCGACAGAGTGAGCTCCCGTTGCTTGTCCCAGCTCCTGCCAACCTAGCAGTTCGAAAGCATGTAAAAATGTGAGCAGATAAATAGGTACCACCATGTTGGGAAGGTAACGGCGTTCCATGTCTACTCATGCTGGCCACGTGACCACGGAACCTGCCTACAGACGAATGCTGGCTCTATGGCTTGGAAACGGGGATAAACACCGTGCCCTAGAGTCGGACCCGACTGGACTAAATGTCAAGGGGAACCTTTACCTAGACATCATATGATTATAAATGGCAAGTTCACCTTGGGCAGGGGAGAGGACTCCCAAATGTCAAAGACAGCCATTCCTGGCTACCAGAAGCCTTGTTTAAATCACCTTCAATTTCTCATGCTTCATGAATGTTCCTTATAGCATTTTCCAGCTATTATGATTTATAGAATCAATTTTTTTGTTGATAAAAGAATCAACAAAAGATGATAATCCTTAGAATATTAAATGCTTCCTTTGGACTCCATAGCTGTTGGGACAATTATTCCTGAAGGGTTCCTTCATATTATGCTGCCGCTTTTGTCATTTCCAATACTATTTACCCATCTATGCTCTAATTTACTAATCTGTTCCAATTTACTTATTAGTTCGGGTTTCAACATCCATATTCTAGGCCTCTAATGCTCCTTCCCACCAAAACATCTCTCTCACAAATCAGATGGAGCGTGCAGAACACTTACCTCATAGACACCACAAAAAATGGACATGAACTTGCTGAGGACAGCAGCACAGATGCTAGCAATGTGTACAAAGGGGCCCTGCAAAGAGGAAGGGGGAAAGAAGGGTGGATGAAGAGGGGTGGGAAAAGGTCAATTTTAGCCCATACTGGCTGAAGAAATCTGAAAAGCATCGTCTAGGATACCATTTTCCCATTTTTAACCACCACTCTGATAGGCTTGTTATAATTTCCTACTTGTGTGGGAAGTATCTCTGCATCTTTTGACTATCACTGTTTTTCATGTCATTCAAAATTACACATTGAGGAGATCCATCTGTAGTGAGGAAAATCAGAAATGTAGGAAGAATAATAAGGTGGCTCAGGAAGTTTTCCATGACAGAGAAAAGGACATGCCTCCAGTATTCCTCCAGAGCATGAGAGGGAAGCCAGCAGCCCATGAACTGGCTCTCTTCCTGCCTGACACTTCCTCTTCCTCTCCCCTCTCAAGAAGCAGTGGCTAGTCTCTTAGGGCAAATGGAGTGTTGCCCCACCTCAGGATCAGGATGTAACCTCCTCACCAAGGTGCTGCCTGTATCCCCCTCCTGGTGAATGCCCTGGCTCATTATACCACGGGTGATTGGGTGTGTGTGAAAGGAGCAAGGTCAAGCAGCAGCAGATGGTCATCCTTGGCTTCACCCACCAGTGACTGCTCGACCTTCTGCCCCACCGACCCTTGTAGGCACCAGACACCACTGCTCTCTTGGGCCTGGACCTCTTCCATCGGGGCTGCTCCTTCTTCCAACCCTGCCTTCCAAGGCCTCCCTGTTTCCCTTGGCATATCTGAGTGGTGGTTAAACCCTCTTCCCTTGTCCTCCATGCATCAACTACTTCCTGCCATCGCCATCCTTTTCTTTCTAGCCCTCTATTAATGCAGACTGAACGAGCCTATCACAGTCAGAATCTAGACCACCCATGCCACCCCAAGCCCTAGGACAGTGGCAGCGAACCTTTTTGGGCCCGAGTGCCAAAACTGGTGTGTGTGTGTGAAGGGGGGAACCAGCAGGCGGCGGCAAGCCTATCACAGTCAGAATCTAGACCACCCGTGTCACCCCAAGCCCTAGGACAGTGGCAGTGAACCTTTTTGGGCCCAGGTGCTAAAACTAGGGGGGGGGGTGAAGGGGAGAACCAGCAGGCCGCAGCAGCGGCGTAACTGGAAGTGGTGGCGGAAGGGGGAATCCCAGGCACGGAGGTGCCTTGAGACCCCACTCTGGATCCTGGCCCACTGAAGCGCCAGCACCGTGGCTGCAGTCGCCTCTGCAGGTTTGGCTGAGGCCCACTCTGGATCCTGGCCCACCACCTGTTGAACGCTTTAACTTGAAGCGCCAGCACCGTGGTTGCAGTCGCCTCTGCAGGTTTGGCTGATGTGGGGTAGTAGCGATCCGGCGACTTATGGCTCACGTGCCCACAGGAAGGGCTCTGCATGCCGTCTGTGGCACGTGTGCCATAGGTTCGCCATCGCTTCCGTAGGACATTACCAGAAAAATGACAAAATCAGCCTCCTCATCACTCACCACAGGCCTGGCCCTCACCTCCCGCTACCCCACACAGAGCTAGACCCACCTCTTTCCCAACGGGTATCCCGCTCCCCAGGCCCGCCGTCAGGCTTACAACTTTGGCCAGAAAAGCTTTAGGCGTGAGGTACTCCTTGAGGACCACTCCCCGCATGATTGTTTTCAACTCGGGGATGCCAGAGCCTGAACAAAAGAGGAAAGTCACAATGTACAACAGTGGCAAAGAAGACAGAACACAACCCTAGCCAAGGGAATGAGGCTCAAGTCACACAAGACAGTGCTGCTGCCAGGCCTCAGGTTGACGTCAAAGGGGAATCTTCTATTGTTTTCCTTGCCTTCACCTAATCTCACCATAGCTTCCCAACACCACGTGTCACCTTGGGCAGGAGCTGAGAGAAAATCACCAAAGGCCAAGCAGAATCAGGGAGTCTTTTGGGGAAATACAGGGTGAGGGGTTTGAAATATGATTGGGACAGACCTGGCTTTAAGCCATATCTGTAGAATGCATCACAATCCCCCCCTCTCCCTCCTCACACAATTTTTGTAGTCCTGCTAGTTGCTCTACATTGGCTGTTGGGCCTCTGAATTTTGGCCACATGGCAGAAACAAATGAAAACGGCACACTTTTAACTTTAAACAGCACATGTGGGAAGCATGCACCTTGTTTTCAGCTGATTTGCTATTCCAGAATCTTGCCAGAAGCACAATTTGACCTAAAAACACACAGATGTAGTATACCTTGGTACAAAGTGCAAATGTGGAGGTTTGGTCCTACCCATTAGCACCAAGAGGGAGATGAGACCCCTGACACGCTCAGAAGCTCCTAGGGTGGCCGCCTGCAACCCTAGAATTTGGCCACATCTGATTTAAACAAATAGATCTGCTGCTGTTGCGTAGTTGGAGCCCACAGCTAGAATTAGATGAGCTTTGTAATTACGAAGGGATAAAACTTTTTGTATACAAAGACACAATCATTTGTAGCTCCCAGGACAGAGCAGTGGACTTGCAAATTATTCCCATGCTGCGTTTATCACTTAAAGAAACACAGTCTAATTTGCAGCTTTTGAAAAGGGAGAAATCTTGCTTTAAGACAAGCAAATGAATTTAACCCCTTAAGAGAGCTGGGCTACGAATGGCATGAGACTGTCTGCTGTAATCCCTGAAGACAGAGATAAACAGCCCTCTCTTCCCCTCACTTCCTCTCACCTACAGCTTGCGGAGAGACAAGCTGGCAGAAGAGGGCAGCAAAGAGGATAAGGATGAGGGGATAGGTGACCCACGCTAGGAACTGCATAGGGATACTTGGGTGAAGCTCTCTGTACATCCACTTGTACGCTGTAGGGAAGAAATAATAAACATAAGAGGTCAGTAATGACAGAACCTGGCAGCCTTAAAATAACTATGGCGAAAGAAGTTACTGGCTAAACTCTGATCAACACAAATAGGAGCACCCAGTCGTAACAGACCACACTAAATGGCGCATAGATGCACACAGTTCTCCTGGCTACCCACCATGTCTTTGTACCAAGAAGGAGCTCCTTAACCCTTTAAAGAGTTGTCACTCATCACAGCTACCTTGCCACGTGTGTTGGAAAGCATATCAGATCTTTGTGGTCTTTTTACCTTTGGAAATGCAATTTTCAAAGATTGTAAAAAAGACCTTTTTCTACACACTTCTGTTTCATCACTGACATGGCAGACTCCTGCAGATCTTCCTCAATTTTGATTTGCTCTTTCATAGGAAGAGAAATGGTTTCTATTTCTCCTACAGTATATGTAGTTTGGCCCCTAATCACCCTTATTATATGGCTGTATTGTTTATTGACGTTAGCACCGGGGGCTCTGAACACAGTGCTGACACACACGACTGCACCTGGAAAGCAAGGCTGAAGTGCCCACCCAGCTATCTTTGCAATTTCTGTGTTCACTTGAATTTTTTTTATTTAATAAAAGCTGTTCTTCCTCCTTCACCCTGCTAAGGGCCCTTGAGGCAACAAGGGTGGCCATTTCCATTCCCCCTTCCACCACTATTCCTCAGGGTAGTTCCCCCTCCCGAGACACAAATCAGTGGAGAAATTCCTGAATTCATTTGCACAAAAAGCGGAAGAAGTGATGAGAGAGACATTTCAACACCCATATAGGGCATGTACTCTCCTACTCACAAGCAGAGTACAGGGGCACTCCTGTATTTTGGTGCTTGATCACTCTCACTCCACAGCATCCTATTCTTGGTGGTGTGCACAGGGCACTTTTTCAAATTTCAGTCGTGCTCACTGATCACAACATTTGGAGATCCCTTGTTTTAGAGTGTAAGCCACTTACCTTGAAGACTTTTGGCACTGGCATAATCTACCCCCCAGCTCACCAGGGCCATGACGAGACCCAGGAGGATCAAGAATATCCAGTCTTCTCCTAACTTCTTGGTCAGATATTTCTGGAAGCTTTTTGCACAGGCTGTGGAGGAAGAAGGTCTTTTAGACAGCCGTCTGAGCCACACACAGCAAACTTTCTAGGCATGAGCCACTGGAAGTTCAGCGTTTTCGTAGCCTTATTGATTTCATTGAGGAGAAACAACAGGCTAAATCCAATGTTAGTGCTTGATTGAGATCAACGCTAGATTCACCCCAGGTGTTTAAATCTCTCCCCCTAAAGTCAATGGATCTTAAAAGTGCTTCACTGATGCCTGATTGTGACTTTTCCATCTTCTATGGATGAGCACATGTCTTTAACAGGCAAACAGTCAATTCTATGTTTGAGAGAAGCTGAAGGACATAAACCCACTCAGCCTCAATGAATTCAACAGGAACAAATTAGCTTCAGTCCATGTACTTCACTGGCCATGGTCTGTGCATTTAGTGGTGGGGGGGAAATGAGCAAACTCAGTGCAACCCTTGTGTCAGCACCAATTCCAATTTCAGATATAATACAGGCTGTGAATCAAACTGCAGCAAACCCAAATGATTGTGATTCCACTTTCCAGTACTGTATAGTCACATCCATAGTTATGTCTGCCAGTCTCAGGGTACTCAGTGAGGTTTCCCAGGGTCTCCAAGCAGGGAGACACATTTCAGGATGAGCAATGCTGGAGAAAATTTAATTTTCAAGTGTGAGACAGATTTAAGTAAGCACAAGCACAAGTCCCGGTTGGAAATGGTGACAAGCATTTTAGCTGCTAGGTACACAACGCTGTCTGCTAGACTGTAAAAAATAAAACATAATTGTGCCCTCCCTGTTCCTGTTCTCTGCTGTCATATTATTTGGTCAGCCATGCCAATTTATTTATTTAAGACATTCATATTCTTTTCTATCTCCTGAGATCTCTGGAAGGAAGACAACAATAAGAACAAGATAATTCAATACTTTAAAAACATATAAAACATTAAGAGTGACCTATATTAAAACAACAACAGTAGAGGGGCCTCCACACCAGTTAAAGCCATGATCCTTAATTTTAGCATGACTTTGGCCCATTTAACCAGTTCTTTTCCACCACCATTTGCTGACTCAGAAGCCATTTCATTCCACATCTCAGCCCTTACCCGCCCCACCTTTGTGATCACGCAAAGTCCCACTTGCTGGCATCAAGTCTGGCCAGCGACTGGAAGACTCCTGATCTGTCAACCCTAAGTACAACATTGTTCATAACTTCATGCAATGACTACCTGATTGTTGGTAAATCTATAATGGCTACTCCATTACCTAAATTGACATGGAAAGTTTCCCCTCCTGTATCAGATGCAATCAACCTATTTCCTGTATTCTCGAAGGCTTTCATGGGATCCGATGGTTGTTGGAGGTTTTTGGGCTGTTTGGCCATGTTCTGGAACTTTTGCTTCCTAATGTTTAACCAGTCTCTGTGACTGGCATCTTCAGAGGACAAGAGTTAGAACTCTTTCTGTGTTCTCGTGTAGTGTGTGGGATAGTTGAGTATTTGTAGCTGTGGGATCAGCTTTTTGTCCTTTTCAGGAGATTGGGTGATTATGGTGATCAGGGTGCTTTTTGTTATGGGTGTATTGTTGTGATAAGGGGGAAATGATCAGTCCCTGTGATTGATGGGTGTCATTAGCTAGCCTATTGTGGTCCTTGTGGCTGGGTAGAGTTCATTGACCTTATTGCAGGCTGTATTTTTCAGTGCTGGGTGCCAGGCTTTGTTGATTTTTGGACTTTCTTCTTTTTTGTTGAAGTTGTGCTGATGTTTGTGGATTTCAATGGCTTCCCTGTGTAGTCTTAACATAATGATTGCTGGTGTTGTCCAGTACATCTGTGTTTTGAAATAGGATTTCATGTCGAACTTGTTTCAAGGCATGTTCAGCTACTGCTAATTCTTTCTGCTGTTTTAATCTGCAGTGTCTTTCATGTTCTTTGATTCTGGTGTGGATGCTGCATTTTGTAGTTCCAATATATACCTGGCCACAACTGAAAGGTATCCGGTATAATCCTGAAGAGATGAGGGGGTCCTTTTTGTCCTTTGCTGACGGTAACATTTGTTGCATTTTTGTGATGGGCCTGAATACTGTTTGTAGGTTGTTTTTTCAAAAAATTTCCCCATGTTGTCCATGACCTCTTTTACTTTATTTGTGGGTGGCTGTTTTTCTTCTTCAGTTCTGTGTTGTTTTCTTGGTTTGATGACTCTTGTGATTTCATTTTTGGAGCAGTCATTTGCCTGTAGAGCCCAATTCAGCTGGTTGAGTTCAGTGCTGAGAAATTCAGCTTCACAATTCCAATTTGCATTGTCTACCAGTGTTTCGACTATGCCTCTTTTTTGTCGTGGCCACAGAGACTGGTGAAATGTTAGGAAGAAAACCTCCAGAACACGGCCAAACAGCCCGAAAAACCTACAACAACCTATTTCCTCTTTATCCACAAAGAACAGTATACAGGCATCTCTGTATAAACAGAGGGAATCTATGGCCCTCACTGTGGCCTACCATGACATTTGGAGTAGTGTTCCTTTTTCAATTCAGCCTGAGTGCTGCTCCGCTTCAGGGGACCCTGGCCATTGTCTTGGGACTTCTTTTCTCCTAGAAGTACAGCTGCTTCCTTCTGGGACAGATTGGGGAGCTGCTCTGTGTACTGGCCGTAAAGCTGGGAACACGGGAATGAGGAGTTAATAGACAAGTTGCTAGCAAGAGGAGACAGAACAACAGCTGCAGAAAGAGCAAAATGCAAAACCCATAGATTGACCAATCCCACTTTGAGGCATCTTTAATTCACAGTTTCATTGATAATACAGTATGCGGCTGGAGTGTAGACATGGTAGCCAGAACTGCATAAAAGTAGTCACAAGGTCGGCTACAGGGGAATTTATTGCATTCTATAGGCCCCTGTTAGAACAGTTGGGATCACTCTAAAAAACAATGACTACACAATCTGTTCATTGTACCAAGCTTTCCCTAATGTGGACCAACCCATCCCAAATTGGTCTAGAGTTGGAGTCTACTATTTATTTGGTATGATTAAGGATCAGTCCAAATAAAAATATTTTCTTGATATGCAATTGCCTAGATTGCTCTAGTGTCAATTTGCTAATATTGTGAAGTGGCTTAATAAGGGAGCCACTTCTGGATTTTGGCAAATTCATCACTTCCCCTGCTTGGGAAAACGCAGCAGAAGATTTTTTATTATTTTATTTTCAGTGATTTTTTTAAAATTAAAAATTTGCCTTTCCGTGTTTCTCAACCAGCAATGCAGTTAAAATATTTGCTATAACTGACATATTGCATCAGTGATAGTCTTAAACAGAACAAAAAAACTTTTTTTCACTTTCCCTACCCTCTGCCAACAGGGGAAGTGATAAAGTTGCCAATATCCAAAAATGGATTGTTTATTAAGCCAATTCACAATATTGGCTTTGGAATGGTTAAGTTTGATTAGAACGATCTAATCAAGCCTGACCCTTCACTTGGTAAAAGCAGGAGCAGAGGCCATTTCCATGTGAATGGTGAACAGTCAGGATAGCTTAGATCATTCTAATCTAGCCTGACCATTCCAAAGTGACCTGGGCTAGATTGCTCTTGGACACTAATGTAGCTGTGCCCAGTTGGCTTTGGTTTTGCATACTTCATGATACTGCACTTGATAACTAGTACTTAAAGGCATAAATGAAATCTACTAGAAAGCACAAATGTGATGCTCAAAACAGACATTAGAGGCAACTCATAATTAGACCTGAAAGCAGTGTAATATTGCAAAGAGGTGACTGGCAATCTTTTTGTGTTTGTGAAATCAGACTTCAAATGAAACTGAGGCTTCAGCTCTGCAGACCAGTCACCAGACAAAGCAAACTACTAGACATAATTCCAGAGGTGACAGACACTAATTCAGACATTCACATTGATTATTAATCACCTTTTTGCAGGCACTGGCTATCTCTAAAATCTGTTTCTGAGCTGAGATGGATGTTCTGTCTCTCAAACAAGATCTGTAACAATCCATTCACACATGCAAGTCACTCTCTTAATTCCTGTTACAGTAGCTTGCATGCATACAGATGCACAGCCATTTATGCATTGTATAATACACAATCCACAAAGGCACCAAATTTGTAGAACAAATTTTGAGATATTGCAGCATATGGCACTGCAGTTGTGTACATATGTACAGCTCTTTGAACTAATATTTTTATTTGAACATGATATGGTGGTGCAGACAACATAATCCCCAAATTTAGATATTTTCTAAACTAATAGCTAGCTATGATTTTCAAATGATGTGGCACACAGGATTGCATATACATGGTGATATAAAGCCTACTGAGCATTCTATACCACAGTGACTCATGACCAGAGACGGGCATGAACCTCCATTTGGAGACTGGTGCTGGTTCATTCCCTTCCACCACCACCCACTCACCAGCCGGCATGCACTGCTCTTCTCCTGCTCTTTGGCGAGTGTCCAGTCACAGCAGGAGCCTGTGTTTCCATCCACCTTCTCCAGCAGCCGCCCACTCAGATGAGGAGAGGGGCAGGGATTCCTGCTGTGCTGCCTTTGAGTGGGCGGATGCTGGAGGAGGCAGAAGAGGGAAGCATGAGCTCCTGCTGCAAATGGACAATTGAGCAAAGAGCAAGAGAAGAGCAGTGTACGCCAGCTGTTAAGAGGGGGAGATGGCTGGAGGGTGAGGGAAGGGAACAAATGGCATCTGTGATGCCATACTGATGAGCCAGCACAAATCTCTGAACCAAGGTTCATGCCCATCTGTACTCATGACAATTGTAATATTTTTATAAAAGGATGACAGTGATGTTGCCACATGAATTTGCCTGTCCACTCCATCAGGCATGCTATAACAGATAGGGACATGCACAGCTACCATTCCTTTCACATTAATAATAATCATGATAATTATATTTCAGGTTTTTTCAGGTAAAAAAAATACACAGAGGTAATTTACCATTGCATTTATCCCTCCAATATGGAAAATCTCTGATATGAAAAAGTACTATATTTTACTGTGTATAAAACAATACTTTTGTCTAAAAATTGAGGTCGTCTTATACACGGAAGTGAACCAAGGAGAGAACAAAACGGCCCATACCTTGCCTCTGCAAACAGGTTTCCTTCAGTCATGAGGCTTAGCTTCCTACAGTGAGGAGACTTAGTTTCCTCCAATCACAAGCCTTGTGTAATTGGCATCAGCTGATGCTGAACAAACCAATTGGAGCACACATCATTGGCGGAGCTGTAGACAGTGCTCAGATGCTACAGGGACTCATAATTTTCAAGCATTCTGAGCCCAGAGGCTGAATACTCAAAGCTAAGATTTCTTAATTTCTGGGGTAAAATACAGTATAGGATCCTTATATGAGTTATTGTACACACCATGCTTTGTATGCACATGTATTAGTGTACACAATATTCTGATGTAGATCTACAGTATTTCCTAGAGTCTCTGAAAAGTAAGCACTGTGCCAACAATCCTAAACTGGCCCAGTGTCAACTTGGGTTCCCCAATATGCACCACAAACTTAAACTCTTTCACACAACAGTTTGTCTAGTTGGAACTGGTTGGCTCTTTCGTCCTTCAAGTATATGGTTAAGAGAATGATAGATTAAGCTGATCAGTAAATTCCATTTTGTCGGGTAAATCATTGACTTCAGAAATAGATGGTATCATGCTCCTAGAGAAAACAGCGGCTAGTGTCTGTTAAAAGGTGGGTGGCTTTTTTAAAAATTCAATTCAGATTTCTCAGAAAGTGAGGCTTTGCTCTCACAAAAAAAAAATCTTGTAAAGAAAGTCCTGCTTTCCATCTACAGAACATCTACAGATTGAAAAATGTGGTGTTTGGTTCAAGAACAGGACAAATGCTTAAAGAACACACTGTTCCAGTTGGATGTGCATGTGTGTAAGTGTTATACATGTGCCTACCTCCTTTTGGAAAATGATCCTAGAAAAGAACCTAGTTGCTGCCTTCTGTTTATGTCCCTGCCTCTGTGCATGCTCCCTGAACAGCTGGGCTGTAGGCACTTGCACAAAGGCAGCACGCCTGGTTCTTGGAAGGGAAACAGGCCCATTATCTCTGATGATGGGGACAGTGGCAGAAGCGGGAGCAGGGAGGCAGTGGGAAGGGGATGGGCAGGCCTTTGTTTTGCCAAAGGAGAACAAGCGACTGAGGGGGGAAAAGTTCAGCACTTTGTTTCATTTTGGCAAAACAGGATCCCCAAACTGGGTTGTGAACCAAATCATGAACCAGCCCGATTCATCAGTTTTGCTGGTTTGTTCTTCAGTTTGTGCCCATTTCTATCTTGAACTAAAACTCTTCTTCATCATTTGTTGTGCTGGCCAGAATTTCCAGGAGTTGTAGTACAACAACATCTGGGAACCCAAGTTTGGAAACCACTGAATTAAGTGGCCAGATCACCATGGCCAGATCAGACCTCTCCAGGAATGGACACAGTTGGCACAACTAGTTTTAACCATGTTCACTCTTGGCCACCATTGAAAACTTTGCACCCAGGCTCAGGGATAAATCCAGAAGTACACCCAAGCTGTGCACTTGTGTAGTCAGGAGGTGTGCAACTCCATCCAGCACAGGGTGAGTCCCTATTCCCTGATCTACATTTCAACTGATCAGGAACACCTCTGTCTTGTCTGGATTCAGTTTATTCACCACCATCCAGTCCATTACTAACATCAGACAGTAATCTACAAGTGAAACAGCCTCCTCAGATTTACATCAAAAAGGGAGACAGAGATGGGTGTCATCCGCATACTAGCGTTACCAAACTCCAAAACTCCACAGACAACCTATCCCAGTGGTTTCATGTGTATAGGGGACAGAACTGAACCATGTGGGACACCACAAGCCAATGGCTAGGGTGTCAAACAGGAGTCCCCACCACCACCTTCTGAGTTTGCCCCTCCAGGAAGGACTGGAGACACTGTAGAACCTGAAAAACCCACAACCACCAAATCCCATCCCAGAGAGATGGCCCAGAAGGACACCATAGATGATGGTATCAAAAACCACTGAGAGGTTGAGCAGAAGCAACAGAGGCACATTCCCTCTGTCTAGTTCCTAGCATAGATCATTCGCCAAAATGACCAAAGTGAAATGGATCCAGAGAATCTACTTCATCTAGGAACCTCTGGAGCTGAGACACCGCAACATACTCCAAGACCTTGCCCAAGTAGAGATGGGCACGAACCTTTATTCAGCAGTTTGGGCCAACTCCTGCACTGCCTGCACAGGAGTTCTGTGGGTGCTGGGTGCTTGCCTGCCCTACCTCCTCATCTGAATGGGTGTCCACCGGAGAAGTTGGAGGAGGGAAGCACATGCTGCTGCTGAGTGGCTGGCCATCAGGGAAGGCAGGGAGAGAAGCATGCTGCTGCCCATGAGTGGTCAAATGCATGAAGAAGGTGGGGGAGGGAAGTGGGAATACCCAAAGAACACCTGTATGGCCACCTCACTGAACTGGGCCAAACAGCTGAAACATGGTCCGTGCCCATCTCTATGCCCAAGAATGGAGCATTAGAGACTGGCCAGTAATTATTCAATACTGTGGGATCCAAGAAAGGCTTTTTCAGCTATAGTTTCTTTATTGACTCCTTTAAGCACGCTGGGATCCTATCTGCTGTAGGGAAGCAT